GGCGCTCCCGCTTGAGACTTATTCGCAATTGAACCAAGACGCACTTGCAATTTAATCAAGACCCCCGCTCCCGACAGAGAGCCCTCCACATTTGATTCAGGAATTGCGCTTTCGCTTGTGACTACCATGCAATTCATTCAGAAATCGCGCTTTCGACGCTCAGGAGGCACGCTGCGCCAAGGACGTCGCTACAATTTACTTAGTAATCGCGCTCTCGCCTTACTCAGGCATCCCGGTTGCATGTCCCACCTGCCCGACCAGCCCGTCAGGGGATCGCCCGCCCGTCGTGGGCTCCCGCCCGAGACTTCCTTCAGGAACGGCGCTTTCGCCTAGGACATCTCCGAACGTTCACGCTCTTACCTTCCTGCTCCTCCTCCCTCTCCCTCCTAACTCCTCCCTCCTCTCCACTCTTCTCTTTTCCTCCTCTCTTCTCTCATCCTTATGCCTCTCTGCCCTATCCCCTCTCCCTCCTCTCTCTCCTCCCTTTTCCCTCCCCTCTCCTGCTTCCTCCGTCTTTCTTTCTTTCTTTCTTTCTCTCTCTCTCTCTCTCTCCCCCTCTCTTTCTCTCTTCCGCTACCTCTCTTATATGTATTTCTCTGTCTTTCTCTCCCTCTCTCTCTGTCTCTCTCTTTCTCTGCCTCTAATCAGCCGTCCCTCTCTTCGCTACTTCTCTCCTGGCGTGTTCCTTCTTCTTTCGTCCCTCCCGCTCCCTTTCCACCCGCTCTCCCTCGTTCTCCCCCTCCTCGTTTTGCATGGCCCACACCAATTCCAATGGCGAGCACATGTACGCCCACGAAGGATGGTCCGCCCGTTCAGGCTTGCCCGCCTGTCTAAGACCGCCGCCCAGCGCAACGAGAAATAATCCCCCCAAAGGGGGTGTGATCGAAGACAAAAAAGGCGGGTATCGAGAGTGTGGGGACCTCGTTTCGAATGACACGCGGGCAAGTAAGAGCGAACAGTCTTATACTGAGTGGTGTTGTTGTTGTTGCTGCTGGTATTGTTGTTGTTGTTGCTGTTGTTGTTGTTGCTGGTGTTGTTGTTGTTGTTGTTGATGTTGATGTTGAACATTATTTATTCTAAAGAATAATTATTGTTGGGCCCCCTGGTGCGCGCCCCCCCTGCGCCCCCTAGGCCGCAGCTACATTTTCATCATTTTCGTGAGGAAGCCTCAGGTAAAACGATGTGATCCAGATCCGGTTGTTTTGTTGTAATCCGTTTTCCCTTGCAAAAAACACTATAAAATGACATTTCTTGTTCTAATATAATCAAATTTCAAGAATCCCTTGCAAAAAATAAGGTAAAGTGGACATTCGCGCGCGCAAGACGAAATCCTTCCAAAAGCTTAGTGTTCGGAGCGATTTTAACATAAAAACATCAAAAAACCAATGGTTTTTCAACAAAAAAATGTCAAAATCTCATCCCGCGCGCTCTTGCGGATTCGTAGGAAACCCAACACTTTTTAAACATTTCTGTCAAACGGGCTTTTGCGAGCAACTTTTTCGAACTTCTGCGACAACGGTTGCGCACCTGCCAGGGCCATCATCCCTGTCAAATAATACCATGCGGGACACATTCGTTTTTTCTTCGCGCGCGCACGCCGTCGTCGTCGGCCGCGGGGCCCTGAATAGTAGCCACGGTCGTCCGCATGCCACGAAGTGAAGTGTCCGAACGTCATAGGGCGGGAAGCTGGGTGTGGGTGGTGGCGAAGAGTCGTTTGGAAATTTGGTAGAGCTTGAACCGGCCCCCCCACAAAGTGGGGGTATTGCCCGCCTCCTATGAAAACCCTGGCACTGGTGAGAACGGAGTGTCCCCACGTGCTAGTAATTGTTGTTGTTGTTGTTGTTGAACATTATTACTTCTAAAGAATAATTATTGTTGGGGCCCCTGGTGCGCGACCCCCCTCCAAAACCTAGGCCGCAGCTACATTTTCATCATTTTTTAGCGAAAGCTTCAGAAAAGTGAATTATTACCGGATCCGGTTGTTTTGTTGTACTCCGTTTTCCCTTGCAAAAAACACTATAAAATGAAAATTCTTGTTCTTACTTGATCAAATTGCAAGAATCCCTTGCAAAAAATAAGGTAAAGTGGACATTCGTGCGCGCAAGACGAAATCCTTCCAAAACCTTAGGTTTCGTAACGATTTTAACATAAAAACGTCAAAAACCCAATGGTTTTTTAAGAAAAAATTGTCAAAATGTCCTTCCGCGCGCGCTGTCCGAATCCCACAAAACCAATGGTTTTTCAACATTTATGTTACATGAGCTCGCGCGAGCTACTTTTTCTTGTTCTAACATAATCAAATTTCAATAATCCCTTGCAAAAAATAAGGTAAAGTGGACATTCGCGCGCGCAAGACGAAATCCTTCCAGAACCTTAGGTTTCGTAACGATTTCAACATAAAAACATCAAAAACCCAATGGTTTTTCAAAAAAAAATGTCCAAATTTCATCCCGCGCGCGCTGTCCGACTCCCACAAAACCAATGGTTTTTCAACATTTCTGTTACATGAGCTCGCGCGAGCTACTTTTTCTTGTTCTAACATAATCAAATTTCAATACTCCCTTGCAAAAAAAAGTAAAGTGGACATTCGCGCGCGCAAGACCAACAAAAAACACGACGATCTTAGGAACTTGCCCCAAAAATGTGACCAACTCCGCTCTCTCTGTCTCTCTCTCTGTCTGCTCTCTGTCTCTCTCTCTGTCTGTCTGTGTCATGTATTGTATGTCACAATTGCAGGATGCTGGGCACACGCGCGCCCCGAATAAGTGACCAAGTTCTGTGGGTGTGTACCCCACGCCAGTGTAGTAGCCACGGTCGTCCGCACGCCACGAAGTGAAGTGTCCCAACGTCATAGGGCGGGAAGCTGGGTTTGGGTGGTCGCGAAGAGTCGTTTGGATATTTGGTAGAGCTTGAACTGCCCCCCCACGAAGTGGGGGTATTGTCTCGCGTCGCATGAAAACCCTGGCACTGGTGAGAACACTGAGCGTTCGGGTAAAATGATTGTTGTTGTTGTTGTTGTTGTTGTTGTGTGTTTGTGGGTTTGTGGGTTTGTGGGTTTGTGTGTTTGTGTGTTTGTGTGTTTGTGTGTTTGTGTGTTTGTGTGTTTGTGTTTACTTGAGCGAAAAGTCGGCGCATGCGGCGGGTTTGCTGTAGAGTTTGAAGCAATTATGCGCCTGCGGCGGGCTTCTTCGGACTCTCGCAGACTGCCGAATTCCCCGCGCCCCCTCACTCTTATCCGCACCTGCGGGGTGCTCTGTAATTTTGGTGTTGGTTTTTGGGTCAGCTCGGCGCTCGGGGTACTCCGGGAGGAAAGCGTGGTGTTGGACGTCGGTGATGCTTATCGCCTGTTTCGATTCCGATTCCGATTTCCCGCCTCTCTCGTCCTCCTCCGCTTGCTTTGCCGTCCTGCTCCTCCTCTTCCTCCCCTTCCTCTTCCTCCTCGTCCTCGTCCTCCTGCTCTGTCCCCTCCTCGTCCTCCTCCTTCCTCGTCCTCCTCGTCCTCCTCCTCCTCGTCCCCCTCCTCGTCCTTGTCCTCCTGCTCTGTCCCCCCTCGCCTCCTCATCCCTCCTCGCACTCCCACCCCCTCGCGGGAGCGCACCCCGGCGCACGGGCGGCGCGGCCGGTATCAGCCCATCCAAAAAAGAGGGCTCCGCGCTCCCGGCGGCGACGACGGAGGCTGCGGCGGTGGCGGCAACGATGACGACAGCGAGAGAGAGAGAGAGAGAGATGTGTGTGTGTGTGTACAGTGGGAACCCGTGCCAAGAAACACCCTGCTTGTCTCCAGGGTGCCCTGGGTTTCTTGGGCTTCGATGTTTTTGCGATGGAAAGCGTGGCGCTCCCACACCAAAATTCAATGGATGCCCTGGGGTCTCAGGCTTGGGTTTCTTGTGGAAGGTTTCTTGTGGTCGAGCTCCTGTTGTATATAAAGGGTGAGAGAGAGAGAGAGAGAGAGAGAGAGAGAGAGCCAGAGATCCGACGCTCCGACAAAATTGGAGCAGGCGTTTTTGGGTCGTTTTGGGCCTCCGGGGGGCCTCGGGAGCGTCGAAAACCGACGCAGGACAAATAGCCGTAGGGCCGTAAGGTAGTGGTCCGGACGTCCGGGGCCCACGCATCGGAAAGATTGAAGCAGCCGGATGTTTGGGGAGCGCGTGTGAGAAGGACAGATAAGAAGAGACAACCAGAACAGCAGCAGAGGGGGAGGGCGGGAGAGAGAGGGGGATGAGGGAGAGTGGGAGAGAGGAGGGAGAGGAGGGAGAGGTAGAAAGAGGGAGGGGATCAGCAGGATGAGGAGGAGGATCAGGAGGAGGAGGAGGAGGATAAGGAGGAGGAGGAGGAGGATAAGGAGGAGGAGGATAAGGAGGAGGAGGATAAGGAGGAGGAGGAGGGGATGGGGCAGGGGGAGGAGAAGGAGCAGCAGAGAGACGGTGAGCGAGAAGGGGAGGAGGTGAGGGCTCAGTTGAGGGGGGGTCCCTCTGCCTCCTCCCCTCGATCCCCCTGGCAAGCCGGTTTGGGGGTGGGGGTCTAGGCCTCGGCGTGGAGGCCTGCAGCCACCTTTGGGGGAGGATGAGTGGAACTTCGGCCACCCGCTTCGCACAGGCCCAAGGCCTCCTCGCGCCGCAGCCCATCAAAAATCGCAGCGGATCTCTGTGTGGGGCAGTGTTCGGGCGTCGAGGTCCCTTACCGGCCCTGGGGCCGTTAACACCGGCTCGGGCTGAAAAGCTGACCCTGGAGATTGGGCCGGGGCTTCTGCGGGCCCCGCATTGAGAAGATCAAGACATCCGATCTTTGGGATGCGCCACAGTGCGACCGTCTTGTATCAGCGGCGTCCCTTTTTCCAAAAGCAGCCTCACCTCGACCGATCATCCTTGCTGCTTTGAGCGCCGCTATCACGAGCACGCCTGCTTGCAGCCGTCTGGAGCCGATTGGCATGCGCGAGGCCACTCGTGCACTCCGACCGCCAGCGCCAGGCCCGCAGTAGGCGCGACAGCAGTCGGTAGGTCATGGAGGACGCTGCCAGGAGAGCGCGAGGCCCGCACCCGATGCGCGGATGAGGGATGGTGAATGCAGGCGGGAGTTGGTCGAATCGTAAGGTCCGAGGCCAGGACGTAGACGTATCCGCAGCATGGTGAGCCGCTCCCCCTGGACCTCGGGAGGCGATGGGTGCGGACATGCATGTCCTGGCCTCCTCCTGCCCAGACCTCTCTGGGCCCCAGGACTGGCAGGAACACGAGTGGGGATGAAAAGCCGGTCCCGGAGAGGCGGCCTGGGCCGGTGCACGTCCTGCAGTAAAGTCTCGACGTCGGAGGTATGGGTGCAGCCACGGCGTATGCTATGGATGCGCGGTGCGCATGCGAGCCCCTTGGGCGCCCAGCTCGGCACTTTTGTGAGCTCAGGGTGCGGATATCTTCAGCCCCCCCTGAGGCCCAGCTCTATCCACATCCGCCCCAGGCCACTGGCTCCACAGGCGGTGGATGTGCATGACTTCGGGCCTGGCAGGGGAGGCGGGCGAGGGATGGTCGAATGTGAGAAGGGGGCAGCACGGCTGGCACGACGGCGCCCTCGGAGCAAGCAGAGACGAGAAATCCACTTCTTCTTGAGGGGGCCCAGGGGTGCGAGAGCTGCAAGCGTCGGCCACACGTATCACAAGGCCTCCCAGATGGGATCCGAGGTTCTAGGTTCGAGGTTGTCGGGCGTGTTCGTCGGTTCTCGGCGGTTGTCCAGTCTCGGGATGCGTGCCAGCGGCTGCGCCTCGCCGAGGGCGTTCCAGGGGTGCCCAGATGGTCCCAAACGGCCCACGGGGAGCAGGGTTATGATCCGAAAACTGCAGACAGAGGCCTCCTAGATGGCGTCCGCGTAGATGGGTTCGGAGGATCGCGCCACATGGCCGATGCGTCGGTGATGCGGCTCGATGTGGAGCCCGATCTTGTCCACGCGGACGTCGCCGCTGCATCGCCGACGTCGCCGAATCATCGCCGATGCATTGGCGACGCGGCGCGATCCTTCCACCCCATCTGCTCGGACCCCATCTGGGAGGCCTCTGGTGCCAGCGACCCTTCGCAGGAGTGACCCATGGGCGCGCGGCGGTCGGGGGTGGGGGTCTTGCGCGGGGAGCCGCTCCCGAGCACGCCGGCCGCCATCTGCCGCATCGCGCGCGACGAATGGGCAAGCCGCGCACCAACAGTAACTCCTTGCCTTGAGGTCACTCTAGTCACTCTTGCTTGTGTCGAAGAAGAGTGAAGAACTTTTGGCGCTCCGCGCGGATTTCGTGGATCTGCGTTGGACCCCCCTCCCTGGCGCGCGGAGCGTGCCAGGGGAGGCGCCGGAGGCGCCGCCCGCGAGGGCACAGCGTGGATCCAAGAACCCGCGCGGAGCGCCAAAAGTTACTGTTTACGGCGTTTGTCCTTCTTCGGGTGTAGCTGATGTCGGGTGCCCCCCTCCAGAGAACCGTATGTACATGCTCTGTCATGCCACGAGCGTGCGGCGTCTCCAGCGCGCGCACACAAGGGGGGCGGTGCGAGGGGGGCGGCTTTCGAAGGAGGCAGGTGGCATCTTGGAAGGGACCAGCCGATGCTGAGGACGACGAGGGGAGAGGAGAAGAAGGGCCGCAGGAAGTGAGGAGAGCAGGAGGGAGGAACAACCAAAAGCTGGTAATGCACATAGAGAAGGGGGGGGAATAGGAGGAGGATAAAGAGGAGCAGGGAGTGATGGGGTAAGGGAGAGAGCGCGCGGCAGAGGGGGCGAAGGATCTCTCCGCCCAGCGCGCGGCCGCAGCCGCGCCCCCAGGGGGCCTGCACTTCACCTGAGGACCCAGGACCCCCCGATCAAGAGCTCGACGAGATCGACCCCGCAGACCACGACGGCCAACACGCCATCGGGCACCACGAACACGAGCGGCTACCCCGCCTCGCCGCGCAAGGCCAGCATCTACTCCAAAGGACCAGCCATGGCGTGCAGCTCGACCAGGCCGAGCGATGGGATCTGCGCGGTGGGCATGCCCAGGCGCCCGGCCAGGCCAGCAGCGCGCCCGCGGAGCCACCTCGGAGCTCGCGCCCCTGGCCTCGTCCTTGCCCGCGCCGCCCTTTGCCCTGCTCGTGTCCACGCCCTTGCCGGGGCCCGCGTCGCCCCCGGGGCGGCCACGCCTCCGCACCAGCGTCAGCTCGTCCGCCCGCTCGTCGGGCTCCGTCGCCTCGGCGACGGCGAGGACCCCCGCGCGTGCACCGCCGCCTCGGCGATGACCCCACCGCCTGAGGCCTCCTCCTCCGCGCCTCCCCGCATTCTCGTCCCGCACGCCCACCTCCTTCCGGCCGCCGCGGCGCGCGCGGGCGAGACGGCGCCAGGCGACGGTGCCACCGGGGGACCTACACCGTCCGTCGAGGCGCGGGGGGGGCAGGCTGCATGCCGAGATCGGCGCTCGCCGTGCGGATGAGCCCTTTCGCCGCCCGCAGGGGGCGCGCCGGCGCGCGCGGACCTCCTGGGGCGGCCCAGGCCGCTGCCGCGCGATCTGCCATCGGGGCCTCTCGCGAGGCCTCCGGCGGCGCCGCGGCGCGGTCGCACGTCGTCGTGCCCGGCATCGGAGTGGCGGCGGCGGACCTGCGAGCACACGGCCTGAGCCAAGACAGCACTTGGGCCAAAACGGCTACGGGTGAGGGAGTGAGGGAGTGAGGGAGTGAGGGAGTGAGGGAGGAGGAGGAGAAGGAGGAGGAGGAGGAGGAGGAAGAGGAGGAGGAGGAGGAGGCGGAGGAGCAGGAGGAGGAGGAGGAGGAGGAGGAGGGAGGGAGGGAGGGAGGGAGGGAGGGACGGAGGGAGGGGAGGGAGGGAAGAGGGGATCGCTTGGGGCCGCCTTTCGACCTGGTGGAGTGCGGTTCACGCCAGCAGAACAGCAAGTCGATCAACACAGGGACAGCCTGTCGACGGCCCCTAAGTGGGTGTCCTTGAAGAATCCAAAGGGGCTTTAGTGCGCCTCAGGCGAGCGCGATGCAATTCTTTCTGAATTACGGTCAGGAGCTTTTGCGTTGCGTGTCGCGACGGCGGCCCCGGCGACAGTGTGTCCCTCCCCTCCGCCGGGCGGAAGGCTGGGAGAGACCTGGGATATTGAGGATCGGGGACCGGGCAGTGCTTTGCGTATCGCGCCGAAGCGTAGTGGGCCAGATCGGGCGGCGCCACAAAGCGAGCGTTCCTGACCGTAGTTGATGTGGGCAACGTTTGTGTTCCACGAGGGCATGCCGCGCTGGATTATTTCTTCCCCGAGGGTGTACTTTCCCCCGCCCCCCTCATTGCACCCCCCATCCTTCCCCCCGTCGATCCCCTGCAAGTGCTTCTTTGCACTTGGGAACGCAGCCTCTAGGAGGCTCGCTAGACGTGCAGGGGCGTGAGCGACGGGGCAGCATCGAGGAAGAACAAACTCCATAGACATACACTTTTGTCGCTTCGCACGGATTTCTTGGATCCGCGCTGGGCCCCCAGGGCGGCGCCTCTGGCGCCGCCCCCTGGCGCGCTCCGCGCGCCAGGGAGGGGGGTCCAGCGCAGATCCAAGAAATCTGCGCGGAGCGCCAAAAGCTTGCACATGATTCATTTCTAAGTATTCGAAGGTTTTTTGATTTTTTGGGGGGCCAGGATCCTTTCATTTCTATTTGTTCTGTCCTGGGCCTCTTCCTGGCCACTAGGGGGCCAGGAACAATTCGAAACGAGCACCATTGGAAATGAGCACGATTGGAAGTGAACGACGTGTATGTTTGTGCCTGCTTCTTCTTCTTCTTCTTCTGCTAATCTTGGCCCGCGGAGCAAGGCGGCCCGAGGCCTGGGGAGGCCAGACAAGCAGGGGCGTGGGCGGCGGGGCAGCACGGCCCGGGGCTGGGCCATCATCGCCAGAGGAGAGCGGAACTCTCGCCCCCCCCCCCTCCAGGGCTCATTTCGATTCCCCCGGTTCGATTCGATTCGATTTCGATGGATGCCGATTCCGACTCAATTCGGCTTTGGATTCCGATTTGGGTTCCGATTTCTCGCCGGACGCATACAAGTCTGCCGATCTCTTCCGATTCGGCTGCCGATTTCCGCCTGTCCGATCCATTTCGGTTGCCGATCCGACTTATCGATTCGATTGGGCTTTCCTGCCCTTCTCGGACAGAGCCATCGCCACAGGCCTCGGACAAACATAACGAACATGTCATGCCACATTCGTCTGTCAACGCCTCCCCGCACCCCCAATGTTCAAAGTTGGCCGTGGGTCTGATGAGTTGTACTGTACTGTACTCAATGGAAGCGGCCGTCGATGCAAGCCGCCCCAAACAACAACACACTCACCCAGTAACATGTGACTGCGGAGCGGGTAACAAAAATCCAAAACTTGCGAGGAGATGCCTGATCATTGTCTTCAGCTTGCCTGACCTGGACCCCTCTGTTGGCCGACCTGATCAAGGCCAGCAAGTCAAAGGGAGACGGGGACCCATGTCCTGAAACAGTCCAACCTGCATACGGCTTCCCCCAAGACGAGAAAGCTCTTCGCAGAAATCTAGACCTCTGCTGTCTGAGGTCCTTAGGCCTAGGCGTACCCTGACACTTGGCCGCCGAGGAAAAGACCCCAGACCAGGCATATTCACCACACTTCAGGCAGCAGATCACCCACCCACTCCCACCAGCCCTCCCGCCGTCCCTGACGAAAACCTTTGCTTTGCAAAGGTTGTGGCCCTGCAATCTGGACAGGAGGGTGGTCTCCCAAAGCACCTCCGCAGGTGCATCAACAGGCGTGTCAGACAGAATAGGCACCTTGAAATCGATACGCGGCGCCCAACGTCTACGACCAAACTCGGAAAGACGAGTCATCTGCCTGACAGCTGTAAACTTAGATGGCCTAGGTTGGGAGGAGTTCGGCGAATCACAGTCCACCGCAACGGGCCCAGGGAAACCAGACGAATCCACCCAACCCCGCGTGGCCATAAATACATCTTGCATGCTGCCCCACCTGCGCAGCTCCTTCTGGTGCTCAATCAAAAGGGTACGGAGCTCCAGAGACTGCTCAGGCAAAGGGTGTC